CGTGGCTTTTTTCTATTTTCTATATCCTTCCTTTTTTTCTTTTTAAAATGCACCACACCTTGCAATGGAGATGTTGCATGTGTGAGGAATTTGCGATTTGACCGTTGTTTCTTACGTAAAAGTTCGCGAGAAACACGATGGTGCCACTGGTTTTCTCTGAAATCAATTCCCAAGCTCAAAAAAAGCTCTCAAGTTAAGGCCAAAATGGAAGGGATATCCCACCCTACCCTGAGAGTCCACGTCTACAGCAAGACAAACTCTCCATGCAAAGATAGGGAGTAAATACATAGCAGGGTTGCCGTGTTTTCAGTTTTGGAGTCCCCAAATAAAGTGGCAGCCCTGTCAATGTATTTGCTCCCTATCTTTGCATGGAGAGTTTGTCTTGATGTAGACGTGGACTCTCAGGGTAGGGTGGGATATCCCTTCCATTTTGGCCTTAACTTGAGAGCTTTTTATGAGCTTGGGAATTGATTTCAGAGAAAACCAGTGGCACTATCGTGTTTCTGGCGAACTTTTACATAAGAAACAGCAGTCAAATCGCAAATTCCTCACACATGCAACATCTCCATTAATTAGCTGCCTTACTACTCTGCCAACTTCATATTTTTATATTTATTTAGTTGACGTAGACAACACGGCCATGGCGGACGAAATGAACAGGGATTGAAAAAATAGGATAAGTAAAAGTGTTCGGATCGCGATTGAACAGTCTCAGTCGGTCGATTGAGTTATGCGCTTTGCGCAGAAATGAGGCGGGGCTCTTCGCATGTTTTTGAAAAGTAACGCCCACCCATTCAGACGTTCACTGAAGCCACGGTTTCAGAGAGCGCGGGCGTGGCGCAAAATTAGCCGCGCGAAGTCATTCACAAGCCGCGTTGTCCCATAGAGTAAAAAAAGGAGGTGTTTGCATCTTGAGGTTTGTTTACCCTATGACGTAGGTCGGTACAACCTGGCCAGCGGAATCCAGAATTCGAAGTATGAAAAACGGACCACAATGTCCCATTTTTTCGCTTAAAGCAACTCATGATATAATTTCAAGTACTTTTAATAGAATGACTTTTTTCCATAAATTACACACCATTTCCAAGAAAATCGACGATGAACGTCGCTGTACCGACCTACGTCATCAAAAAATTCCAAGGTGCCCGAAATGCAAACACCTCCCTTTTTTTCTCTATGATGTTGCCCCAACTCTCTATGAAGGGACTCTAGTGACGACGACTGGATCTACCGCAGCTATTTTGCAAGTTGGCAGCACTGTTTTTCTTCCATTTAAATCCATTGAAAATATCGATTTTAGGAGCGGCAAACTGCCTTACGAAGAATCGATTGTCTCACATGCATTTAAGGGAGGAAAAACAGTGTTGCCGACTCTCAAGCATCGCCACCGCAGATCTGCCGTGTTACTGAAGAGAGGAGACAGTGCCAAAATCGTTTTGAGAAAATGGACCTGCAGCATCGGAGCGGGAAATGTTACCGCGCGTATCCGCCGTTCTACGTTAACTTGTCGTTAGAATCGTACGAGAGAATCTAGGATATTGTTGGCATGATTAAAAACGTATACATTTCAGTTTCGACTCTGTGCAAAAGAGGAATTTTTTGTTTCATGTTAGGTGAAGAGCACAACGTGGCACGTGCTATATTCTGCATATCGATGGTCAATATGCGAAACCACGGATCTCTACTGCGGTGTTTTAAAATGCATACTGTTATATTTATATTTGTTTTTTTTCAAAGAGAAACGAGCGAACTTTATGGCTTGAAATTGACACAACATATTCCATCAACAGAGAGGAAAGATCAAAGAAGTCCTCAAAAAATTAGGTTGACGACTTTTCCAAAGAAAAAAATAAATCGTAATAATAATAAAGTATATTGCAGGAAGTCTACAACGCCGCAAACAGAGATACGTGGTTTTACACTTTGGCCGTCGGTATGCTTACGTGGTTACGGTCAGAGCATAATACAAATAAATTCCTAGGGTTAGCAATTGGCAGAGAAGGGTACTATTTTACTCAAAAGAGCAGTGAGTACAGCTCTCAAGCAGAATAAAGTGAACGTATTCCTCCTTTGTCCGGAATGACGTTAATTTTGGGCAATTAATGCTTTTTCATAATAACTATCATCCCAATACTGCTTTTGTAACCGAACAAGACGGTTCATTTATATGATTCATCGCATTTTGTAAGAAACTGAATCTTGAAAATGTGGGCGGCAGAGGCTTAAAACCATCGCTTCCCGGTGGCCCGGCTGACTTTCATGTCGTGCGCGGCTTGTGGAAGCGTACCTCAACGCTTTCCTTGGCGCTGCATGCCATCAGCGGGCATCTGCCCCGCTCAACTTTCATCGATTTGCCCGTATTCTAATAAATCAATCGTCCCTCTATCGCGCGCCGTAAGAAAAATAGACGGAATTATTTCCGAAACGGAGATGAAATTAATACGATAACCCAACTCGAATGACCGAGAATACACTTCGGTCGGGGTTTTCTATTCTCTCAGGCTTGCTGTTGCTTCCTTTTCGAAATAATCGATCTAGTTGAAGGTCTAGGAAGGAGTTTTTCCGCTGTAAAATAAACTTCCCTTGTTTGAAGCTCTTTTCGAAGCAAGCGTTTCAACTCAGGTGGGACATTTTGCAAGTAAAATTCTCGACCTCCGGCAAAAAGTTAACAGACAGTCGAAGTATCTGTCAAATATTCACCAGAAAATCGGTTTTTGCCACAGGCTAATTATGAAAATTAATAGACAAAGCGATATCACAAAGAAGACAAATGGAAAATGGAAAAATCCTATCGGTTGGAATGGGTGAGGGACTGAGGGAATAAGAGTAAAAATAATGGACTACTATGGATAGAGGGTCTTTCAAGGGTTGCCGTTAGTCAGTCTATTACTTAACTCTTTTGTTTAGGGCAATTACCCGCTTCCACCAATAGGATCGCGATGAATTTTCTCTTTGTCTATCGCTGTGTCTATCGATATGATTAATCAGATTGCTAAAGGTGACATAACCGGGCCGAAATCAATAGATTTGCCCAGTCCTAACGCAACGTGACGAATAATGTGACCGTGGTCAAGCTTTGCCTTGTGGAAGCCTTACGAGTGTAAGACTGATAATCCTGCAATTAATTCATGTCTCGAAACTTGTTATACAGTCCAGCTTTTGATCTCGGACGCGATGAGGAACCTTCGTTTTTGTATCGTTTGTGAGGTTCGCGCAAATCACAGCGCGACTAAGGGGTGCAGAAAGTTCCTTAGTTTGCGCTTTCAACTGGGAAACCCACATTTACCCTATACGCCCTATTTGAGGGGCTTGGAGGACAAGGCGCACAAGTGCAGTTTTTTAAAAAATTGGAGATAATAATGTTTTCAAGTAAAACTAGTTCCAATGCCACTTCCGTGAAATTCGCTTCCAAATTCCAATTTTTAAGCAACCAAAAGTAGATTTGAACTTTTTTCCGCCATAAGGATCCATGTAATTTCGAAACTTTAAACACGCATTTCAACACCAGTCCAGGTAATATTAGAAAAACATTACCATAGCTGCAGTAGTTTCCACAAAAAAATGTGCGAGCAGTAATATACACATCATTTTCATGAAAATCAAAGCTTTTACAGAGTTTTCAGCAAAAATAGTACACGTCTAATAATTTTGAAACGCTGACGCCGCGAACGTGAATTATTGCTGGCAAGGAAATGCCTGCCCGCTTGCTCCGTATGTGGCGCCTTCAACATCCAAAGAATACTTCCAACGCTACACAGTAATGCATGGTTTCCCGATGCGCAAATTGCCTATACTGCACCTATCGGACTGTACGAGTATGTACATTGTGTTTTGAGGTGCACACCGTTCACCCGCGATCCCTGGATCGGGTGATCGAGCATACAGGGTGATCTAAAAGTTCTGTACCACCAGCACGGGTTTCCTCGGGGGACTTCCATCATTTGTCCTTTCACTCCTTGTGTTTGAAAACATCAGGAATAAAGTTGAAACTTTGACTTCAGAATCAAAGAATCGAATCTAAATTATGTTATTTTTAGTTAACAAGCAACACTTTCAGTTTGAAATATGTTTTATTTCAACAAACATCAGTGGAAAATGTGAGGAGATAGCGATCTAACCGCCGCAGTACGTCACTTCCATCATTTTCCCGCCATTCCAGCGCGTTTGAAATTACTTCGAATCTTTGAACTTTTTATAAGCGGGCTTGTCCAGGACTTAGACTCCAAAAATGCGCAATAAGTCACCACTTAATCTAACCTTTTGGTACTTTCAGATTGTTAGATAAACAAAAGACACAAGGGTCCTCAAGAGTCCTCTGAGCCCTGAACTGAGAAGCGCCCACTCGAAAAAATTAAATTGCCGATTTAACAATTTTGTAGTAAAAAAAAGTGACTGCAACGTTTCAATGTAGATTTTTCAACAAATTAAGTGCTACTTTAAGCACCTAAGTGGTTGAATTACCTTTCCACTATTGTAAAGTGTCCATTTGAAACATCGCAGTCACTTTTTTTAACAATTGAATTGTAAAATCAGCAATCCATTTTTCTTCGTTTACCAAATTCATCGGTTCGCATGACCGCGGTTTTTTTTCTCCGTGTGCAACGCCCAGTGGATCGAGTCAATTAGAGAGGTCTGACATGAAATTTTTGACTAAAACTCCAAATTTTGATGTTTATTTTGTCACCTTTCAAATTTTAGAGAGTGTTCCTAGCAGAAAATTCTACGAGGAAACCAACGAAACCACTTTTAGAACCTCACAGTTTTGTATAAACGTCATTATAAGCGTTTAAAGTTTCCAAATTTTGTCCGACCTCTGCCATTGATACGATCCACCGTGCGACGTGCGGTGGCGGTGCGGCGGCGGCGGTGGCGATGGCAGCGGTTGCCGATCAGCCCATTCCCCCATTTAAACCCACGTAAAATATCGTACGATCTGGCAACCTCGCGAGTGGCAGCGGTTGCCGCAGCCGCGGTCGGTGCGGTGCCGCGCGCGCGAGGAATCAGTACGAAAGTTGATTTCGGCCGACCCGGTTCCCGGCCTCCGTCGATCTCGGCTCCCGAATCCCGAATCCGTTTCCCCCGATCGATCCCCGAGTTCCGACTCGGTTCCTGTTCCTCCCGGGGTTCCGCCCCTTCCGCCTTCCGCCCCCGCGTTGTGCGTCGCGCCCTCGCGCCCTCGCACTTTCGCAGCTTTCCGGTGTGCTTTCCCCGTCGCGTGCGTCGACAGTCGGACCTCCGGATTTAGTGCTACCTGCGACCGAACCGCGGATGCTCCCGTTCGGGTCCGCGCTGTTCCGATTGCGTCACGAGTCCAGCTCGGCTGTTCCGGTCGCCGATCTGGTGTGATTCCGCCGAGTTCCTCCCGTGTGTAATTTACTCGAAGTTTTTTAGTGTATTTTTTGTGTTATGCGCAGTTTTTGGATCCTACCAACGAAATGGGCCGATTTGGCCACTTGAGCAATATTTTAGGTCTTTGGGGTTTTTAAAAATAATGATAAGAACCGGGTGTTTTTTGGCGCCATAGAATCGGGCTTTTTCTAATTAATAGCATTTTTTCGTAGCTTTATTTCATCGGAATGAATTATTATTAACGGGTTTCTGCCTGAATTTTGTACCAGTCCCAAAAAATTGTCTAACTTCCAGCGTTTTTATTGCTGGCTAACCGCGAATATTTAGGCGCAAACTTTGGCTAGGGATTTAAGTACTCAGGCGCCACTGAGAATTATCTAGGCGCATTTTGCGCATGGCGCCTGTCGGATTCAACTTTCGGACATAGGTTATGAATTCTCGATAACTCAATACATGCTCGTAGAACCAATTTGGACTGGTTTAACTCGAATAAACCCAAGTGTACTTCTCACTGTTAATAATTTCGAAGTGGAGCCAGGAGTGAATTTCATGCCTCAGTCTATGATTTGTCTCCTAAAAACTCGTGTGATATGCGTGAAGAGTGATATCCGTTCCGTGAGAGCGGAGTCAATTTCGCTGTGAGAGTTGATGTCACCCCGCACTCATATCACTCCGTTCGTTATGGAGCAATACAGAATCTCTCCGTATTTCCGTCCGAAATTTTTAACAGTGCATCTCAAAACATGAAAGGAGATTTAGGGACTGTCTAACGTACACGGTTAAGCTATATAGGTTGAAAACGTGTCAATAATCGTCCATTTTCTGAAGTTCTGAAGCTGATTTGCTCTACTTAATTAGGGGCAAATTAACTCCGGAGCAGGGATATTCAGCCCGATTGGCCGGGGTTGAAATCCCAGTCATCTCAAGAAACAGTACTTTTCTTATTTTCCTATGAATACACTATAAGCTGAACGACTATCTTTACCCAAATAAATAACCGACCTGTCTGAATTTTTACCTCCTGAATTTTTCGAATAGTTACATGGTATATCCTAAAAAATCAGAAAAAACTACGTGGTTTTTAACTTGGGTCACGAAGCAGCGCTTTTTGAATGAGGCGTGGCCCAACAAGATTTCGAGTTATTGCCTCGAGTCTCGACGCCTGCTTCTAATCGGAAAGAAAGTCTAAAAGTAGTTCTAACGTCATGAGTTTGTTTACCATCGTTCAGACTTTTTTCTCTCCCTTTTTCCCCCGTATTTTTCTCTCACACGAAGTTTTTCCTCCTCGATCCTGTCATACCATCACATCGAAACTATCCCGGTCTTTCGAGCCGTCCACTCTGACAGACGTCGTAAAATCGCGAATCGACCGGTTTATGGGGCCCGAAATGAACTGCAAGCAAAACTCGGTGAATCATCGGAACTCCGCCAAAATTATACCCCATAGCCGCGTCTGGCTCTTATCTTCCGCAGAATTCCATCAATCTCGAAACCGGAGCGAGAACTACCGGGGAGATGGCCCCCGCGTATTTCGACGTACGCAACGTCCGAAACATCCGCAGACGTGCCCGACCCAGCGGAACGAAAGATGATGGATCGCGGCCGTCCATCGTAAAACGACGTATCGTCGTATAGGTTCTGTGTGAGCGTTGCGCGGCTCATCGTAAAACGACGTATCGTCGTATAGGTTCTGTGTGAGCGTTGCGCGGCTCTTGCGTAAGCGGGCAGCACAGGACGAAATTTCATCGGGAGAACGTCAAGGTTGACGTTTAACAGATACTACGGCCAGCCTCGTGAGTTATGCTAATTGCTCGCCTCTGACTCATCGCGGTGCGGCCCCCCGGCGCGGCGGCCGAGGGGGGATCCCCCCACCCCCCTGGCCTCACCACCGCGCACGCAAGTGGCATGAGGCAACCGCTACCACCCTAACCCACCTCACTTGCTGACGGAGTGGCCACCGTTGAAAGAGAACTGCAACCTGGTCGGGAGGCCAGCCTTTTATTTTTAACCCTCTTCCTCTCGGTTTCGTTCGACGTCAGCCATCAGTTCATGGGGTTCGTCGAGGGTATTTTAAGATTTGTAAATCTCCCCCACCCACTTCTTATCCTCCCCGGGGTCGTAGTATATCGGTGGAATGCATCCAGCCAGGATTTCTGAGCCTTGATTAAATTAAACGGAACAGCAGCAATACAATGATGAAGAAACCATAGGGCGAACAGGGTGTTAAACGTCCTGGTAAACCTGGAAAAGTCTGGGAATTTTGCCGGAGATCAGGGAATTTTTCCATTTTTAAAGAAGACCGCACTGTAGAGATGCACTCATCTTCAGCGAAGACATACTGATTGTGAGCAGAACCTCCAGGACCATACCATGCAGTGCAGCGGTGTGGTGTGCTTTGCGATGTATCGATTGATCGATCATTTGAACCTATGGAAAAGGATCTATAAACGGGGTGTTCGCAACGAACACTTTAATAATCGATTCTTTACCATAGCTTCAAATGGGGAAATATCCATAATCGATCATTCGCGCTTCGCTACTGAAGATCAGCGGTTTTGCCCGATTCATGAGGTATCGTTCCCTGATTTGGATCGGTTCAATGAAAAAGAGCCTCTCAATCAAATTTCCGAATACCAGGCATTTAATTTGTGGATATTTCTTGGAGCCTGGTGGCACGGAAAATCCCTCTGTTAACTCTCCCCTTCTCCCTCCCCCCATGCCTCGCCACTGATGCAATGTTCAAAATTACTGCATCAAGACTGGATCATTCTCTCCGCCTCGGAAAAATAAATTCCCCATTAATTTTCGTCGAGACACTTGTCTTCTCGTCGTTCTGATCGGATTTACAAGTCAATTCGGTTATCCATCATACTTTCGTATTCGTCATCCCTCTTACTATTCTATGCATTATTCATGTCTCTTAGGGTTACTGATACAATTTAAAACACATAATTTTTCCTTAACCGACACTTTCTCAATCGCTTTGACCTTAAAAAAAGCCTCGTAATAACTCACCCGCTACTCCCTCCTTAAGCGGCTCAACTTTTAAACTCCCTCTGTCTCAAATCAGTCATGATTTAGTAGATGAAAACTGGTCGTTAGAACTGCTATCTTGCAAGCTGACTGAAATTCAGTGGCTTAAACTTACCATGATTCGGAAACGCGCGTGGACAGGTTTTCGAGCATAACGAATGTTGTGTCGCGCTGTTGCCCCTATTGTCGCAGCTTTCGTTGATTTTTTGGCTTTTCTTTGAGTGCGGTTTCGCCTTCAACTTTCATGTGAGAGTAAATTTAAAATTAAAATATCATGACTATAAATAAATCCCGTAACCTTTGGTTGACGGGTTTCCCTATGCGATGCCTTCATAATTTATTCTTCACGGAGAAAGAGTGGTAGGGGTTGTTGGACGATATGGTCATTTCCAAATGATTGTGGGAGCACCCTAGTAAATTAGGTTACTAACTAAAATTTTGCAATGTTACCACAATTAATTTGAAATGCCCATATCATCCAACAAATTGGGTTAGTACTACAATTTTAGAAGAGAGCCCCATACATTTTTCCCTGTGTTGGGCCTTGAACGATAGTTAACAATTTATTCGCCCTAACACAGTCTATACATTCCATCAACAGAGCTTTTTAAACTAAAGTCTAACCTCAATCATCTTATAGTAGGTATTTATCTTCGAACGATTCGCGAACGTCTAATAGCGCCTAATGGAATTTTTATTCCTCAGCTGGGTGGAAAATACAGAATTTTAAGAATTTTTTTAAAAATTCTGTAATGCACTTAATGTTGGTACGCCATAACGCCTAGATAGTCAATTCCTAGTTTAGAAATTTTGGAGAAAAATTATCACGAGTCAAATTTCGAAGTTTCTCATCAATTTCTCGGATTATGTCATGCGGGTTGCATCTGCAGCCCCTGGAAAATCGTTGTTCAATGAAATACCATTCTCGCAATATTTTGCATTTCTGGCTGAAAGCGAGCTTTGTTTTCTCTCTCCGATGTATTATTTCCGAGCACGTAACGAGGAAAAAATGGCCGGCAACATCGGCGGTGTACAATTAAAACGGTGCTGGAAGAAGTAAAACAAGCGCGTGCGCTCGTGTATGTATGCCTGATAATGAGTGTAAGCAAATTTACAGGAGTTGTCGGGTGTCCCATTTTAGGTGACCTTGAAGCGTCGCACGTCGCCGGCTTCGGCCGCCGCGTCATTCCACACGGATAATGAATTCAAAACAAGTGACACGCTCTTATTCCAGAGAGAGGGGGAGAGAGCCACCGAGAGAGAAAGAGGTCGAAAAATTCTTGAACCATTTTTTTTACTCGTAATTTTACATAAACTCTTTATTACTGCATTCCCAAGATTGATTACGTCGTATTCGCGTATTTGCAATCCGCTTGCATGTAGGCTTATTATCATTTATTTATTTTTTAAATATTTAAATGTTTCCAAATCATCCATAAATTTTACCTTCTGAAGCGTGACAGGACTTTTAGCGCTGCGTAAAGTCGGATAATTCAGAGAATTTGCAGCGACCGGAAGAAGTCAGGGAAAGTCGAGGAATTTGTGGGAAAAGTCAGGAAGTTGCGCGTCGGTACCTTTTAAACAACCTCTGAAAGCTTTTTCCCACAATAAAAATTATCGGATGGTAATTCCGTGTGATATTGAGTCTATGTTAGATTTATATGTTGCAAAAAGTTATGTGAGAGTGTTGTTTGAGGATCAACTCAAGTCAGGGAATTTGGAAGTGTTGGTGTCAAAGAAAAGCAAAATAATTCAGGGAAAATGGAGCATAGAAAGCCAAGAAATTTGAAGACTCAGAACTTGATGAAATCCTGTACGAGACCAATTTTTTCTCGATATGCACAAACCTCATTTCGAGATTTTATGAGTTTCGCAATGATCAGTTTCAGATAGTCGGATTCGCAGAACGTCCCATCGTTCTACCTCTAGTGTATATTATCAAATTTTGAGGTTAAGGTGCCAAAAAGCAAGAGTAACACTCA